CGGTTCTGATGCCCTGGCTCCGGAGGGGGCCCAGGAATCAGCATACCCAGCAAACACCCCAAGACCCGCACACAGAGTGCATAAGGAGACCCACCCGCCCACAAGGTGGGCTCTCCCCAAGCTCGCCTCGCGTCTCTCAGGCAACGGGCCGGCGGCGCGCTGTGATGACGTCGGGGGGCGGACGGTGGCCGGGAGGCGTGCGGCGCTGTCAGCCTGCCTATCCCGGCGGCTCTCGCCTTCGGACGTCTGCCACGCCCCAGAGGACATTCGTCGGGCGCCTGCTGTGTGCGCTGGACGGTGTGGGGACCCAGCGACCAGGAGGGACGGCGAAATTCAAGGTCGGGGCCGTGGGGCCGGGGGTCCAGGCGGCGCGCGCGGCGCAGGGGCGGAGGGCCTAGCGGGAGGGGAGGGCGTGGGGGGGATGGCTTGTGCAAAGGCCCGGTGGCACACGGGTTCCCCGCCAGAGCTTCTGGGGGCGAGACTGCTGGCGCCTGGACCGGGCAGATCAACTGGAGAGACAGTCTCAGGAGGTCAGACATAGTCCCCCAAGGTCGCCACAGAGCTGTCACCTAAAGGGAGAATGATCAGTCTGCATTTTAGTCATCTCTCTGCTGCTGAGAGGAAAACTAACTAAAGGCGGCTGTCGCTATTGTAATGATGTCTTGCGGCGAGACTGCTCCAGGGCCCCCGGGAACTGCAGCAGACTAGACACTAGACACTAGACTAGCATGACCGTGGAGTCATCCTAACACACAGAGGGGTGAAGTGACCGGCTAAGTGCTCCCAAGTCAGAAGTGCTAATGTTGGTGTCTCACGCCAGGCATTCTGGCTTCAGACTCCTTGGTCACCACGGCGAGACCATCATGCAGCTATGTGGGTGACCTCAGGTGGCATGGAGTCCTAGGGGTCTCCCTGGCTGCTTAGGATCTTGGGATTTGAGGTTGGGTGTGCTAACAGCTGTGGATCTCGGGCAACTTCTTCCATCTAACAAGCTTCCATTCACTCACCTGCTGAAAACACTTGGGGTTGTGAGCACCACTGAGATCATGTAGCTGCTTAACATTCACCTACAGTCAGGGATTGCTCAATGATTGGACAGTCTTGTCATCGGTTTAATAGTTGCGGAGGGAAGAAAGGATTCAGTAGGTGTTAGCTGCAGTTGGGGGCTTGGTAACCAACCAGTTCTGGGGGCAGAGAAGGGAATTCCAGCATGGCACTCAGGCTTATTGCTCCAGTAATCCAGGGCTGCGGAGCCCTGGGTTGGACCATTCAGAGCTCGAGGGCTTCCAGATTGTGTGTGTGTGTGTGTGTGTGTGTGTGTGGCGGCGGGGTGGGCGGGGGGTGTTTCCCAGGAAACTGCTGACTGACCCTGCAGGTCTGCAGGGTCCTGTCTGGGAGCCCTTGACGCATCGGGGACAATGTCAGCAGGTGATGAAGAGTGAGTGTGGCCGAGACTGAGAGTCTGCAAGGAGCTCGAGGGGAGCAGGAAGGGACACCCGGTGTGGTGTCCTGGACCTCAGGGAGGGAGCATGATGGGTGACCGGGATGCATCGAGGGCACGGAAGTCCAGAAAGATAAGAGTTTCCCATGGACTTCATAGCTGGAATTTTTGGAGCACTTGAATTCTGCCAGGAGTGTGGCTTACCTTTAGAAAAGTCTTGTTTGGGTTGAGACATAACACATTATACAATCCATCCCCAGCTGTCCAGTGTGGTGCGACCACCACTGCTTTTTATTTCCAGAATGCCTTCATTACTCCAGAAGAAATCTTGGCCCCATGAGGAGTCATTCCCCAGCTACTGGAAGCCGCCAGTCTGCTTTCTCTGTGTATTTGCCCACACTGAACGTTTTGTTAAAGCAGGCTCATGCAATATGTGATCTTTGGTGTGTGACTTCTGTCACTTTACCGAACACTGTCAAGGTTCATCCAGTGATATTTTATCGTATGGATAAACTACACTTTGTTTATGCATTCGTCAGTTGTTGGACATAAGGGTTGTTTCCGCTTTGGGGGAGTTATAAATAAATAATGCCATGACGAACATTCGTGCACAAAGTTTTGTGTGGCTATTTCTTTCCATTTTTCTCGGGTGTGTACCTGTGAGTGGAGTTGCCGGGTCATGTGGTGGCTGTGTAGCTGAGCTTTTGAAGAACCATCAGACTTTCCCAAAATGGTTGTGCCCTTCTGCGTTGGCACCAGCAAGGAACGAGGGTATGAGGGTTCCACTGTCTGCACGTTCTCTCTCTGCACTTTCTCATCAATGTACGTTACTGGCTGTCAGTTTTATCCTGGACATCATAAGGGAGGTGAGGTGGTGTCCCATCATGGTTTCAGTTTGCCCTCCCGGATGGCTAATGACACTGAGCATCTCTTCACGTGCTCCTTGGCCATCTGCCTATCCTTGGAGAAACCTCTATTTGAGGCCTTTAAATTGGGCTATTTGGCTTTGCTATTAAGATTCTTCATATAGTCTGGGAGCAAGTTCCTTATCAATACATGATTTGCAAAACCTTCCTTTCTCTGGGTTGCCTTTTCACTCAGTCATGGGTGCTCTTTGCAGCAAAAGTTTTTGATTTTGATGAAGTTTAATCAATCTACTTTTATTGCTTGTGCTTGTGATGCCATGTCCAGGAAGGTGTGATCTCACCAAAGGTAGTGAAGGTTTACTCCTACCTTACCTTCTTTGAGGTTTTAGTGTTAGATCCTACATCGAGGTCTGTGTCCCTTCTGAGTTAAGTGCTCTGTGTGTGTGTGTGTGTGTGTGTGTGTGTAAGGAGTAGGCCCTTATTCCTTTGCACGTGGACATTGGGGACCCCCAACACCAGTTGAGAAAACTGCTCCTTCCTCAGGACGTTGTCCGGGCACTCTGGCCAAAGGCAGCTGACCCTACATATTAGGGTTTGCTGCTGGACTCTCAGCTCTCCCATCAGTTTGCATACATCTGTCTTCACGTGGTGCCCTATTGGTCCCTTTGTGTCAGGTTTGGACATCAGGCAGAATGGATTCTCCAACTTTGTTCTTTTCAAGGAGGTTTTGATGATTCTGGGTTCCTTACATTTCCAGTATATTTTAGGATCAGCTCTTTAATTCCTGCTGGGGGAAAAAAAGCCAGCTGGGATTTTGATGGGGACCACATTGGCTCTGTAGATGAGTTGGCGAATGTCAGTATTTTAACAGTGTTGAGTCCTTCTGACTCGTGAACAAGGGGTGTCTCTCCATTTATTGAGGCCTTAGGTTTCTTTAAAAAATGCTTTGTAGTTTTCAGAGTATAAGTTTTGCATTTCTTTCAGTGAATCTGTTTCTCCGTATTTTATTATTTTTGATGCTGCCATAAATTGAATTTTTTCTTCATTTCGTTTTTGAGTTCTTTGTGGTGAGTGTATAGAAATTGAGTTGAGTTTTGCGTATTGATTTTGTACCCTGTAAATTGGCTGAGCTAACTGATTTTAGTCGTTTTTTTAGTGGGTTCCTTGGGATTTTCTGTATACATGATCGTATCATCTGTAGACAAGAGATGGGTTTCTAATCCGGATGCCTTTGATTTCATTTTCCTGCACGACAGCACTGGCTGCAGCATCCAGTAGTGTGTTGATGGGAAGAGGCAAAGTGGACACCTTTGTCTTGTTGCTGGTATTCGGAGAAGGGCACTCAGTCTTATTGACATGTGGTAAGAGCTGTGGGCATTTTATAGACACCCTTTTTCAGGTGGAGGGCATACCCTCCTGATTGTTCAGAATTTGTGCCATGAAAGGCCATAGGATTTTGTCAAACGCTTTTTTTCTGCATCCTTTGACACGATCATACATTTTTGTCCTTATCATGTTGGCATGGCATATTACATTGACTTTCTTTCTTTTCTATTCTTTTGGGGGTTTTTTTTGTTGTTTAGAGAGAAAGAGAGAAATGGGGAGGGGCAGAGGGAGAGATAGAGGACTGCCCAGTGAGATTCTGCACTCAGCCGGGTCCTGACGCGGGGCTCAGTCTCACAACCCAAGATCCTGAGCTGAAATCAAGAGTCTGACACTCAACTGACCGCACCAGCCACATGCCCTCTGATTGACTTTGTCCTGTTGAGCTGCGTGTAGTTTCCTGGCGGCATAGGTCCTTGTCCTGGTGTGCAATCTTTCTCCGGTGGGGCTGGATTCAGTCTGTAGGACTTACCGAGGAGCTGTGCCCCTGTGTTCGTAAGGGACATTGGTCTGTCGCCCTCCTTTCCTGAGATGTCTTTGGTTTGGGGTTCCAGGTGCCACTGGCTTTATGGGGTACCTTATGGCAGTGTTCCCTGTGCTTTGTGGATAACTGGTATGTTTCTTTAACTGTTTGGTGGAATTCTTAGTGGAAGCCCCGTGGCTCGTCTTTGTGGGCAATTTGTTGGTTCTCCTCCAGTGTCCATGTCCTCTGTACATCTGCTCAGATTTCCTGCCCCCTTGCACTCGCCTGTGGGGGAGTGCGTCCCCTCTGTGCCTTTCCCCTCTCGTGCAGACACACACAAGTTCTTTTGTCCAGTGCTCGTCCAAGCCCCCATTGCTTCTCAGCAGTACTGAGCAGCCATACTCGGAGCCCTGTGTCCGAGACTGTTTCCACACTCAGCAGAAACAGACCCAGGTTCCCGGAGGTGTTAAAGATTTGGCTGGGCAGGCAGAGGATGGTCCGTGCTTGGGACCCAACTCTGCTGCTCTTCCTCTAGGTCTGGGTTCACCAGCCCTTCCTGTCCTGGGCCTTGATGAGCCAGGGCACTGTGGAAAAGGAGCCAGTCCTCTCAGAAAATTCCAGAATGAGTCTTTGGTCAAGAGGGCTGGGTTGCAGGGTACCTGCTTTGTTGGTGGGAAGCCAGATGTCTGTTTGGGAAGAGAGTTCAGGACAAAAGTCTGTGTTCAAAGGCTCTCCAGCAGATAGCCCACATCCAGTCCAGATGGGCGGGAAGGGGACCTTTGGTCCTGTCCTATGTGGCCAGAGTAGACCAGTCAGCAGTGGGCAGACTCTAGAGGGAGGGTTCCTGGGTCATGAGGTGTGGCTGGGCCTTGAGGGACGGATCTGGTGGCCCTGAGAGGGTGAGGTGTCCTTGGGCCAGGCTGTAGCCCACGGAGCCTCTGGTCTCAGCTGCCCGGGGTTGCCTACTGCGACTGCTTCCTCACCCTGTCTTCGGGGAAGGTAGACGTGAGGTTTGTATGGTCATTCTCTCTTGCTGGCCCTTTGGGAGTCCGTTTGCTCCTCTCCTCCTTGCTGCATGGCATGCCCGCACTGTGGCTCCGGTGGGTGACCTGGCCAGCTCACCGGCTCAGGTTGTCTGTCTCCTGCAGGCTGATACCCGAAGATGGCGCCCGCATCAGAAGGTGGCGCTGAAGCCTTGCTGCCAGATCTCCCCAAGGGGCCCCTGCAGGCCTACCGCTCCCGCGCCTCCTTCTGCTGGAAGGAGCTGGCGCTGTTCCTGGAAGGCGAGGACGTGCTGCGTCTGAAGGTAAGGCAAGCTGTCAGAGGGCCGACCCGAGCCCTGCGGCTGTGCTGGGTGTCTGCTTCATGGGCGCAGGCCGTCTGGTCCCTCTGGGCGAGCCTCACTGCCACCCAGGAAGGACCACAGCCTGGTTCACCTTCTGAGGCCTTGGGTCCCTGTGCTCATGATCAGAACAACTTCCATCTGTCCCTGGGGTTCTGGGCTAGACCATGTCCCGGGGGGCTGGTGGCCTTGAGAAGAGCCATAGTCAGAGCGTGGTAAGGGCCGGCCTTTGCCTCTAAGTGGGGCACTCCCCGTCTCCTGCATTTCCAGAAGACCATCTTCTCGACTTTGGAGAATGACCCACTCTTTGCTCATTCCCATGGGGAAGAACTGTGCCTGGAGAAGTGCCGGGAGCTGAGCTTCCTCCGTTGCCAGCGCCTCCTGGAACTCAGCTTCCTCTCCATGCAAGACATGGTGGCGAGCCCCTTGTTGGTCCAGACGCTCGTCGCCTGTCTGGGCATGTATGACTGGTCCCTGGGCATCAAGTTCTTGCTGCACATGCTGGTGAGTGGGTGGTGAGGAGAGCAGAGGATTGCACCTTCCCTGCCTCACACGGAGCGGAGGAAACCCCACCCCCGCACTGCACTGCCCCAGACCCAGATGAGGTTGAGGCACGGAGAGAGAAGGTCCTCATTCATGTGAATGACACATGGCCCGTGGGACGTGGACAGCACCCGTGGGCTGTGCTGCTGGCCAGCATTTGCTGCCTTGTAGATGGCGATGCGAGCATTTGGGGAAGTGTTTCTTTTAAGAGAGTTCTAAATAATAATATAGGAAACAAAAATGGAGATGAGAACATGTGGGCACGATGATTTAGGAAGTCCTGCTGTTCTCAGCCGTCTGTGCAAATTGGCGAGAATTTGCATAGTCCTTGGCGAGAATGCCGTGCTACCTAAAGCTTCATAAGAAGAGGAGATTTGGGGGACACCTGGGTGGCTTAGTGGATTAAAACCTCTGCTTTCAGCTCAGGTCATGATCCCAGGGTCCTGGGATCAAGCCCCGAATCAGGCTCTCCACTCAGCAGGGAGCCTGCTTCTCCCTCTCTCTCTGCCTGCCTGTCTGCCTACTTGTGATCTCTCTCTCTCTCTCTCTCTCTCTGTCAAATAAATAAATAAATAATCTTAAAAAAAAAAAAGAAGAGGAGGTTTGGGGCTTTTTTTGCTTTATGCCAACATCCCCCCCAAAGAAAACCCCCACAAAAAGCAAAACAGGCAGGGAAGGGGAGGCAGGTCAGAGGAGATCCTGGGGCTCCCACTGCCAGAGCACGGTAGAGGTGACGATGTGTCCCCAGCCTTAGACATACGGCCCCCTGTGGGGCTCTGAAGGGAAGCTGGGCTCTCCCGCCTGTCCTGTACCCTCGTCCGTCCCCTCCCCCTCCGCTCCTGTCTCCCTGTCAGTCCATCCCTCGGGATTTCCCTTGGGCGTCTTAGGTGCTCCTGCTTAACTTAAACGTGAACTGCTTGGGCCAGGGACTCAGGTCTAACCTCGGCCGTGGGCATTACAGTGCTTGCCTCCCCCAATGCCCCAGAGCAGGACATCTTAACTTGCATCTGTTTGCGTGACCATTTTGTACTTCCAGACTTTTGGATCAGCGATTTACAACTCTGGTTCTAAAAGACATTTAAAATACCTTCCAAAGATCTTCAACATGGAGGTGAGTTGAGAGCCCCAGTGAGGCATGAGCCCGTATTCTTCTCCCTGTGCACCCCCAAGCACAGGAAGTGGGTCCCCAGAGGCCGCATATTCCCTGGCACCCGGTGGGTTTAGCATGGGGCTCTCAAAATGAAGCGTTCTGTTTTCTTCCGCTCCCGGGAGCAGTTCCTGGATCTGCATTGCCCGGGCGAGTAGCCCACTGTCCCCGCAGGCTGGGGCCATGGTGTTCCGCATGTCCCCGTGACCCCATAAGACCCCAGCTGGTTGGGTTGGGGGTGGGGACTTGGGGCTTTGGACTCTAGTTTAGTCCTTCCAGAAGGATGGTGGTGGGACCCCTCCAGGAGCGCGCAGAAAGAACCTTTCTTGCCTTAACCCGTTTCCTGCTTTGATATTAGATTTTCGGCTGCTTTGCAGTGACTGAGCTCAGTCACGGCAGTAATGCCAAGGCCGTCCGAACAACAGCTCACTATGACCCCACAACCGAGGTAGGTATCATATTCCCGTCAGTCTCACAGCCTCAAGCCTGTGTAACATGGGGTCCCTACACTCCGAGATCTGTCTTTGTGCATGTGTGCTTCTCACGTGCACCCTGAGATCGTCCCCCTGCCAAGTGGCAGCTTGGGACATGGGGGGCTCATCTCTTTGTTCCCCAGGCAGCCTCGGTGTTGGGTTTGCAAATCTTCAAGCTGCCCACGCTTTCTAAAATGAACAGTGCAAACAAGGTTCTTCGTGACCCTCGTCCCTTTCTAGCTGCCCCGTCCCAGGCTCCACTGGCCAGGGGCCTGCCCTATCCACTCCTGCCCCCACATCTGGCTCCTTGGGCCGTGTGGCCAGTGAGCACCGTCAGCTGCTACCTGGTGCCTTCCTCCGGTGCATCCGTTGTTCTCAGCATTGGGCCCTCACAGGCTGTGTCCTTGCTGTCGGGGAGCAGATGCTCTAGGCTCTAGTCGGGGGAGACAGATGTCAGCTAATGGAGTCATGATTTATCAGGTGGTCAGCACTACGGACGGAAGGGAGGGCAGGAAGAGGATGGGGTGCATGGGTCAGGCATCTTCCTCTCTCCGTGACCTCCATACCCTGCTACTCCCATCGCTGGGGTCAGTCTCCTCCGCTTCTCTGAGGACCGTGCCCTCTGCCGCCCTTCCCACACCTGGTCCCGTGTTTCAGGAACCCTCCGCCTTCCCCGAGTTGGGAATGCAGTTTGGAAGAGTCTGTATAAAGGAAAGTAAAGCCCTGTGCTCGTGTATTTGTTCTTCACTCATTCATTCTTCAGCAACGTGGGCCAGGTGCACGCTGCACAGAGCCACAGATCTGAGGGGAGCCCCTGGCAGGCAGAGCAGGGCTGAGGGAGAGGTGGTCCTGGCCTGGCGTGGATGGCCCTCCATGGCAGAGTCGGGCAGAGAGAGAGCTGCTCGGCCACGGCCCCCTTTGCCTTTCCAGCCATCAGATACCTTTCTCTGAACCCGGGTTCTCCTTGGCCTGGCCTGGTCCCTTCACTCTGCACTCTGGCGCTGTGGGCTCTTCTTGCTAAGTGGGGAGGCGGGGTGAAGCCCAGGGGTCTGCGGGGCGGGCTGGTTCTGACCCACTGCCTGTTGGCATCCGCACCTAAGTGACCAGCAGAGCATGATGTCAGAGCAGGGGAGATCGGGAGCCCGGGGCCCTTTGTGGGCTGCTGGTCAGGTGCCCACGTCAATGACAGGTGTTTTTTGAGTACCTAGTATGTGCCAGGCCCGGCTTTAAGAGATGGGGCACCTAGCAGTGAGCATGACAGATCAGTCCCTGCTCTGGGGGTTCACCAATGCTGGAGGGGAGACAGGGACAGCAGCAAGGAGAGCTGTGAGTGCCCGGGGACTGTGGAGACTCCAAAGGGATGGGGTAGTGTGCTGTGCGCAGGGAGGACATCTGCAGAGGTGACGGGCTGGGACTGAGGGAAGACTGTGGGCAGACGTGGGTGGACAGAGTGGCGGTGCCGTGGCCCTGAGGGAGCCCCCATCCCTCCCGCGGAGGACAGGTGGCGGGTGGAGGTGTCCCTGCCGTCCCGAGCAGTGGCCAGCTGAGGGACAGTGATGGATGGTGGCACTATGGAGAGGGGAGCTGTAGGCAGGACTGGCAGGCCTACCCCTGTCCCCACTTTTCTTGAGTGGGGTCTCGGCATCTGGAAGGGGGTCACCAGTGCCCTCGGAGTTGATAACCCCGTATACACGGCTGGGCCAAGCAAGGACTTTCCCTGTGCGCTTGTGTCAGCTGCCCACCCACAGGGAGAGGGAGACCTGCCCACCGTGGCCAGTCCAACGCTGGCTCTGCCCAGCTAGCCCAGGGCTCCCAGCCTGCCTCTGAGCCCTGGGCTAGCTCCCATCCTGCCCCCAGCCCATCTCACTCCCAGCCTGGCCCCCCACATGGCCTGTCTCCTGTCTCACTGAGTGTCCGGCAAGCCTCCCAGCTCCTGCCTTGATCTGTGGGCTCATTCACTCTGATGTTTCAAGGGTCTGCCTTGTGCTCCTGGACACATGGCCCTCGTGGAGCTCATGGGTAGGGGACACCGTGGAAGGGGAAATGATAGTGCCCATTAGGGGTGAGGAAGGAGCACAGCAGAGGAGGGCCTCCGTTTCAAGGCTGTGGCTAGGGAAGGCGCCCTGAGGGAGTGAGGCATGGTGCTAAGCACCGCTGGGGCACTGGCCGGCTGCCAGAATAGTGGGCATATAAGTTATTGTCTGACGCGACTCCTCATTTTCCACAGACGTGTCTTCATTAAATTATGGGACCCAGAGATACGCTGTGTTTAAAAACAGAGCTCCCTTGGGGTACCTGGGTTGCTCAGTCAGCTAAGTGTCTTCCTTTGGCTCAAGTCATCATCTCAGGGTCCTGGGATCGAGCCCCACATCAGGCTCCCTGCTCAGCTGGGAGTCTGCTTCTCCCTCTGCCTGCTGCTCCTCCTGCTTGTGCTCTCTCTCTCCCCCCGCCCAACAAAAAAATAAACAAAATCTTAAAAAAAAAAAAAAAAGGTAAAACAGGGCTCCCTGCTCCAGAAAGGAGCTAAAATGTTCAGTTGCTTCTACTCTTAGGACTTTTGAACAGAGAATGTTGAGTCCGTTGGAAAGGGAAAGAAGTTCTGCGTGTGCTTCAGTTGTTCATTATAACTTTGGTTACAACTTTATGATTATTACTTTTTTTGGTGCAGGAATTCATCATACACACCCCCGACTTTGAAGCTGCCAAATTCTGGGTTGGCAACATGGGCAAGACGGCGACACACGCCGTGGTGTTCGCTCAGCTGTACACGCCAGGGGGCCAGTGCCACGGCCTGCATTCCTTCGTGGTGCAGGTGAGTGGATTCTGGTGGGGCGGCTCTGGCCACAGACGCGCAACAAGTCTGAAGGCACCTTCGTTGCTGTTGGGTGCCGGGGTGCTCCTGGCTTCCAGTGAGCACAGCCCAAGGGGATGGAGAACCCCCCCCCCCGCGTGCATGGGACAGCCCATCCGCCCCCAAGAGGGCATTATCCAGCCCCCAGTGTCAAGGGTGCTGGGGTCCTTCCACCTGGTCTAGACCCGAGATCACCATGGGAGAGTCTTTCCATCCCTCTGGTGGCCACATTCCTGTGTTTTCAGCTGCTCGTCACAAACCTGGGCTTCCCAGCCCCACCATCCTGTGGTTCTGACCCAATGGGTGTGAGGTGGGCTCCAGTGCTTCTGGGAAGTCCGACTTGGGGGCCTTGATGTAGCCTGTTCCCGAGTCACAAGTGGGAAGCTACGGCCAGGGGCTGCCCGGGACCAATGGCCCACGCTTGCTCCCGAACCCCCTCCCCAGCCCCTGGCAACTGCTGATCTCTCTGCCTCTGTGGGTTTGCCTGCGGGACGTTGCATGTGGATGGGCACTACAGCATGAGCTTTCCTGTCTGGCTACCTGTACGTAGTACGGTTCTGAAGTCCCCCCATACCGTCGCAGTGCCGGGATTGCCGCACCTCTGAAGGCTGAGCCATCGTCGTGTGGACTGGGCCACAGTGTGTGTATCCACTTGCCTCCTGAGGCACGTTCGGGTGGTTTTCACCTTTTGGCTGTCGTGAACAGTGCTGTGTGCGCTCACGAGTGGGTGTCCGTTTGAACCCCTGCTTCTCTACTTCGGGGTAGAGACACCCGGGAGGGGACTTGCTGAGTCCTACGGCGATGCTGTGCTTAACTCCCTGAGGCGTCTCCATACTGCTTTCCACAGTCCCCACCAATCCGTACTCCTGTCCGCGCCGCCGTGTGAGGCTCCCAGCTCTTCAGACTCTCCAGAGGCGTGTTTTCCTTTGTGTTAAATAAGTGTGCTGCTGGGCACGGGTTCGTGTTTGCTGGGCTCTTGATTGCATTTTCGTAATGACCATGATATTGGGCTTCTCTTTGTGTGTCAGCTGGCCGCTCGTGTATTCTCTTTGGACAAATGTCCGTTCAAGTCCTTCGCCCTGTGGAGCTGGCTCCAGCAGTGAGGTGGCCACCATCCCTCTGGAGGCTGGGACAGCCACTGAGCCTGGTCAGGGAGCGGGCTGGGCTTCACCAGGTTGGTCCTAGCCTGGTTAGCAGGGCAGAAATGAGGGACGCCATCAGTCACCCATTGCAACCTGGCCCGTTGCCACCAGGTCCTTGCTTGTCTTCCCACGCTGCTTGCTACAGGCTGTGGCTCACGATCCTCCCATCACGTGACCGGGCCGTCGTCCCTCAGTGCCTCTCCATCTGGCTCTGAATTGGGTGGTTTGTCTTCTTATTGTTGAGTCCCGTGGGCTGGAGACTCAACCCTCATCTGATAGACGATTTTCTCTCATTCCACCCATTGTCTTTCTATTTTCTTGTTTGTGTCCTTTGAGGCACCAAAGGTTTTAAATTCAGTGAAGTCTCGTTGCTCCCTGTCCCCCTTGTTGTTTGTATCCCTATTCTCAACTCACATTTGAGCCATTGAAGCCCAGGTGTCTCTTCTCATGACCTCAGGCTGTCACACGCTGCTTCGGTGAGTACAGGTGTGTCCCTGAAGGGATCTTCTGATGGAGACTGGGCTAATGTTCACTCTGTTGAGGGTTTCCGGCCCTTTAGGCAAGAGAACAGGGGTGTTTCACTCTCCGGCGGGACTGTGTCGCCCCTCCATCCAGCAGGGCGTTTCCATGTGCCTAGTGTGCACCAAGCGAGGGCTCGTGGGTGGCGAGCATCCCCGTCCCTATCAAGGAGGGGAGCATGAAAGGAGGACTCACCAAGCCAGTCAGAGATGCGGTGCCTGCTGCGGGCCATGGCCGGTCTGGTGAGGGGCTGAGGTTTCTCACGGGTTCGGTCTCACGTCAGTCAGGTTGGCGGAGCTCAGAAATTATACGCAGACACGGCTGCTCCTGTTTGCAGCTGGCATGACGTTGACTTGCCCTGCTCGTTGGTCTGCTCCCTTTCCTCGACTGGGAGGTTGGTTGGGATTGGGGGCAACTGCATGGTCATGCATTTCCATGGGAATCTGGACTTGCACCCGCTCTATTTTTGTCTGCGATTCCTTGAAAAGTACCCACCTGTTTTCTTCCACGTTCACCTCCTTTCCAACTTCTTTTCATTTCAAAATGTTATGAAAAGTTAGCATCCTAATCTTCACCGGGATTTAGTGAAAGCTGAGAAAGGGGGAAAGAGCATTTACGTTTGGATATCAGCCCTTGTTCTCGCCTGAGATATCCCTCTCGTGACATTCAGTGGGATCCGATGGTCGCTCCCCCGGAATAAATGAAAGCAAGCCATTCTGCAAATAGCTAAACTCGGAAGAGTGTGAACTCACGGTTTCCTTGAAGCAGAGTTTCTTGCCCTGTGCTGTGGACCTCTGGGCTGTGTGAGCCTCTCGCGGGGCCAAGCTGTGTAAGGTGGGTGTGCTCCACCCGCTATGTGCCCAGGATGCCCTCCAGGACGGACAGCCAGAGGGCCTAAGATAGGACACGCGGCCCCGGCAGCGAGGGGCAGTGCGGGCTCCCACCTGGTTGGGAGTCACTAGCATACTGGTGGTCTCGGGTGCAGCCCCAGGTCCCTGGCTTAGGGCCCCCATGGTGTGGTGAGGAACCACCTGCTAGCCACACCTGCATTTCTGGGAAGGTAGATCCATGGAACCTAGCTTTGGCGGCAGAGATCTACAGGACCGATCTCAGGCTGTATCTCCTCTGGCTCGCATGCTGGCCGCCCAGCACTGCTGCGGTGACAAAAGACCACAGAGCCGGAGGCCAGACATCTGACCTCAGTGTGGGCAGCTCCCCACCCCCAGGCTCCAGGGGACAGTCCACTCATGCCTCATCCTGCTACTGGTGGCTGCCGAGTCACTGGGCCTGTGGCCGTATCGTCTGTCTCTTCCAGGACACGTCATTGGATTTGGGGCCTGCCTGGGTCATCTGGGCGGACCTCATCTCCAGATCCTTTGCTTAATTACAGTTGTGAAAGCCCTAGCCCCAAATAAGGTCACGTTTTTGAAGGACATGGTTTCTGCCCACGGATACAGCAAGGGAGCCTGGGGCTCAGTCACTGGGGGTTTTTAACACGTTCGTTTTCATTTCTGTGAGGTCCTAATGGTTGCCCTTGGTTGTTTTCTGTGTGTTGTGCAGATTCGGGACCCCAAGACTCTTCTTCCCATGCCGGGGGTGATGGTTGGCGACATGGGGAAGAAGCTGGGGCTGAACGGTGTGGACAACGGGTGAGTGTGCGCCCTGACCTCTATGGTCACTGTATTCCCTGTGGGGTCGCTGCCCGAGGCTTCTCGCTGAGGACATCGATCCCCGCTGATGTCGGCCTATGAGCCAGGTCCCTCAGTGCTGTCCCCGGCTCTCCTAGACTCTTGTGGGGGAGAGGACACACAGTGGGATGCACACCTCACCTGCCCCTTGAGAGCTGTGCCACACACATGCCACGTCACACATCCCATGTCACACAGACCTGTGTTACACACAACCTGTCACACACCCCGTGTCTCACACACACACACATCCTGACACACACACCCGTGTAACACACCCTACATCACACATACGGTACCATGTCACACACACTTATGTGACACACACCCTGTGTCACACGTACCCTCTGTCTCACATACATTGTTTCACACATGCCATGTCATACAAACACATCATGTCACATACTGTCTCCCACATCCATGTCACACATACACACCGTGTCACATGCGTCTTGTCACACACACCCTGTGTCGTGCCCACGCCCCCTGGCTGGGCCGCCACCTGTTTCTGGAACAGCTTTTGTGGTCTGCACCTCAAAAGAGGTGCATGCAGTTTTGCTTTTAGTTAGACTCGAGTGATTCTTTTCATGAGTATCAACACGCCTGGCCTTGTTCTATCTCCTTGTAGCAGGAACAGATGAACATTTTCCATTCCTTAGAAAGGGTGCTTAGAGTTTCCAGAGTCGGGCCTGCAGAAGCATTCCTCAGCCTCCAAGCGATAAGTTGGAACAGTCCAGGGTGCCGGCACCCAGTCTCTTCTTGAACAGGGGACATCTGTGAGCTCTGCCTGGGGGACCCCACTGTGGCCAGGCCAAGCGCCCCACGGAGGCCCAGGAGCAGTGGCCGCTCGTCAGCAGGGTCTCGATGCTCTGTAGGCCTGCGGAAGAGCCGGTCCATAGCTGACCTTCATTTCATACCTGGGCGGGCGGCCTGCAGGGGTCGGCCTCTTGCCTGGATGCTGGTGGGGGCCTGGCAGCCAGCCGAGCTTTCCTCCCCTGAAGATTCTCTCGGGGCTTTCCAGGGAGTTTGGGAGGTGCTGCGCCAGCCCGCCCTGTGCCCTGCCCCAGGTCTGTGCTCCTCCCTGGGGGTCCTGGACAGGTGCACCGCACCTCTCCTCCAAGGTTGGCCTGGCCCCAGGATGTGGTGGGGAGATCAGTGGTACCCAGGGGACAGTGTCTTGCTTGCTGTCCACATACTGCATGGCCCTCAGTAGGCATCTTCCAGGAGTCACACCCGACAGCCATTATTAAAGGATATAAAGGGTAAGACCCACAGAAACTGCCAAGGAGGAGGTGGCCTGGTGAGAGTGTGGACAGTGGGCCGTGGCTTCCCTGTGGTGGCGCAAGGATCCACCCATACCTGCTGCAGGCAGGGTGAGAGGATAATCATGATGGACCTCTGGAGGAGCTGGTGGTGCCCTGAGGGCTGCCAGCACAGGGGTCACAGGAGAGCTGGGCTTGTTTAAGGGTCACAGCAGGTGCCATGTGGCTGGAGGCTGGGGAGTGGGGGGTGGCTGGCAGGGGCGAAGGGACTTGTGCAGTTGTCGCCGTTCTGATCAGTGGTCTGGAAGGGCCTGTGCTGCTGTGCGCACCACGGGCTGAACAGGTGGGTCTACAGAGAGCCTGGGGGTGACTGTCACTGTGAACCTGACCAGAGCGGTGGAGGCTGAGTGAACATGGACGGTGAGGACGGGTAGGTCAGGACCCTGCTTGGGCAGAGCTCACACCCGGCTTTGATGGGTGCTCAGCCCTGTCTTGGGAGTAACCGCCGTTTGAGCAGGAGCTGGCGTGAGCCAAGAGGGGCTGCTCCCCTCTTGGGCTTGGTGACACCGTGCTTTCAGCCGTGGCCTCCCATGGGCCAGAAGCACATTCGGATGACCCTGGAAGTGATCTTGGCCATCAGACAAGTCATGTGGGAACTGTCAGTATTTCTAAGATGGTTTGGAGCTGTGGTTCAGTTTATGTGGCATCCGTTTCTCTGTGTGGTAGTCTTGTCCTGCAGACGACCGTGAAATGGGTTTTCCCAGCCCAACACCCCTAACAAACTCCTTTGATTACTAACACACAGGGGTATATGACGGTGTGTGAGTGAGCCTCTCATCTTAGTTTTTCAAAAGAAACGAGTTTATGTGCCTTCGAGCCCCGATGTGATAACACAGTTCTTTTGTTGGACATGCGAGTTTTCAGACCTTAGTTTGCTGTTTTTCACATTGTCTTGTGGATCCTGGTATGAGACTGAAGGCTGAGAACCAGATTCTGGTCTTTAAATAAATCAGTTCCCCCCTTTTCTGTTGACTCCCCAGCTTCGTCCCAGCAGCCTGAGGCCCCTGGCCCCGTGGTTACTGGTACATGGTCATTTGCTTCCACACAGGACCCTGCCACAAACATGCCACATTGTTTTCCCAAACCTACTTTTTAGATAGAAAAACGTTTTGAAATTTCCTGTCTCTCGTGTTTCCTCCCTTTTTTTCTGGGGTGGGGGGGATTGTGGCCCTTTTAACTTTCCTTTGCTTTTATTTGACTGGGTTTCTGGAGGGAGAGGAGAGGAGCCCCAGGGCCAGAGCCCCGTTTAACCAGAGGTCCTACTGTCTTTCCACACAGATTTGCCATGTTCCACAAAGTTCGAATTCCTCGCCAAGACCTCCTGAACCGGACTGGAGACGTCACCCCCGAGGGTACCTACGTCACCCCCTTTAAGGTATAGGGATCCACACAGGACTCTGCCTGGGCTTGCACAGAGACCCGCCACCCGTGCTAGGTTGGCCGGGGGAGAACCCCTGTTGGTTCAGGCTCCAGTGCCACCAACAAGGAAGGTGGCACTTGGGTCGGATGCACCCCCAAGGGTCCTGGGCATGACAGATAGTGACCGACAACTACCCATGGATGTCCACTCCTCTGCCCAACCCCCAGCTCTCCAGGGTTAGTTAGGGAGGATGTCCCCTGCTGTTGCTGTTTCCCTGAAGGGCTTAAGCACATAGGTCGCATGGTGGACCATTCCAAATGGGGGTGACCATGTTCTCTTGAGTCTGGGGCTCACCACATCCCCAAATTCTTTGAAGGGTAGACCCGCGATGGCCACAGCCCACATTGGAACAGGCGGTCACCTCCCAGTTCTGAGCTCGCAGTCAGGGTGGCCACACCCCCAGCAACACGTGAGCCTCAGAGGCCTGGGTCTGACGATATGCACTGTCCAACCAGAGCCGGAACTGCAGGGTGGGAAGCAAGCATGATGGGGACACTAGGGGTGAGGAGAGAAGTTGGCAATATGGAACCAAGTCTCTTCCCAATGGGATGTAGCATCGGCTGTTCATTAGAAGCTGGTAGGAAGACGAGGGCGCAGAAGGCACACGCTGGAGGGGACGAGCATAGCGGGGGTTGGGCTGGAGGCTGGAGAGCCCGAGTGAGGAGTGCCCAGGGGACAGGAAAGGCCGAGGTGAAGTGAGAGGAGGGGAAGGCAGCAGCAGAGATGGGGAGCGTCTCACGAAGGGAGGAAATACCCGATGGGGTCCGTGGAGCACGCTGCAGAGAAATGGAAACATTTCACAGAGAAACTTCTGAGACCTTCCAGAGAGGGGTTGCGGCTCAGACTCTCCTGGGGCGGGGGGCTCCCTGAGCCTTCCGATTTCCCCACTGATGCTGCCACAAACCCTTGTGCCCTTGTGGGGATGTCCCACCTGTTCTCTGCATTTGCCGGCATTTGCCAGGGCATGTAACTTGGGAAGAAAACCCCAGATAATAAAAGAAATGAAGGCAGGAGAGGCAGCAAGAGGTGAGGGAGGTCGGGATGGCTGGGTGAGTTCAGGCTGGTGGCGCCCAGGCCACCGCTGCTGCAGAAAATCATGCCCGGGGCTCTGAGGCCGGCAGCCAGAGTCACCCAGGTGCATGCGAGGCCGCCGTCCATCGTAAAAGAACACAGACCTTGACCATCACCGCCCTCAGCAAGGTTGTCCTCCCTGGGAGGGAGGCATTCCAGAGGAATGGGGGTCACGGGAATAGGACGTTGGCACCAGCGGCAGCCCCTCAGACTGGGGCCCGGAGTGGACTCGTGCAGCTCGGTCCCCTCCATCCAGAGCCCATGCCTCTGTAGCAGAGCCTGCCCCCCGGGGGCTCCTGCCATCGCCGTCCATGACCCAGGGCCCGTAGCGCAGCAGCCCTGGCCTGGAGTTCTGGGTTGGGGGTGCACCGGGGCCGGTCCAGGCAGGCAAGCTCTGTGGCCACTGCGGGAGTGACCTGGCTTCACGGCCCCGTGAGTCTGTCCCTGAGGCCTCCAGGCCACCCGGCGGGCCCTCACCACGTGCCTTCCTCCCGCAGGATGACAAACAGCGCTTCGGGGCGTCCCTGGGCACCTTGTCCTTCGGCCGGGTTGCCATCGTGGGCATGTCCATCGTGAACTTAAAGCTGGCTGTCTCCATCGCGCTCCGTTTCTCAGCCACCCGCTGTCAGTTTGGGCCCACGGACGGGGAGGAAGTCCCGGTGCTCGAGTATCAGATGCAGGTACGGGTTTGGCACATCTGGGGCTGCACTCCCAGGTCACTCGCAACATTCCCGGGACGGGACCCTCGTGGGAATAATCAGCCACAGCAGCTGGGCCTCCAGGCTATTCATAGTGATGTTACTCAGGGGAGCAGGAGGGGCCCTTGTCCTACCCGTTGTCAGGGGACAGGCCCCCTGGGATAGCCAAGGGGGGACCTGGTCGGGAACACCAAAAAGCGGCTTGGCTCCTGGCAGAGGGAGATAAATTGTATCCCGGGGGTGCTCGGGGTGCTGGTGGGTTACCAGCGTTTCACCCCACGCCCGGCCCTCACACTGCCTGAGCTCTGAGACACCCTGACACTTTCTTCCACATATGCTGGGCCTTCTCACTCCTTTACATGCTTGGCCTTCAAATTTCTTCACACATCTGGGCCTTCACAGTAACTCCTATCCTCAGCCTCATGACTTCCTCACGTGCCTTCCTCACACACCCGGGCTCTACCCCTTCCTCGTACACCTAGGCTCCAGGACGCCCAGCCTTCACCCCTCCTCACATGTTTGGCTTTCCCCCAGTGGGCTGGGGTTGCCATTCCCTTGAGGGGGTTCCTGTCTGAGTTCAGCAGCAAGTCTGACCTAGTCTTGGGCCAAGTTCTGTGTAAGCACAGGTGCATTCGATTGAGAGCTGGAGGGAATCGTAATAGAGTCCCAGCTTCTTCTAACATTTCTTACCATGGCTGTGAGCCTGTTTTAATAATAAATAAAAAAGGAGAAGTAGAATATCGGGGTCATGACTGGGCACACGTCATCCCCTCCAGCACGGGTCCCATGGCCTCTGTGAGCTCAGTGCCCCTGACTGCCTGGATGTTGAGGGTGGTCAGCGGTCGAAGAGCCTGCTTGAGCCACAGGCTTGGGCTCCTGACCCCGCTCCCCACTACTGTCTGTGTGCCCTCGGGCAGGGTACTTAACCTCTCTGTGTCCTGAGTTCTGGCTCTCTTATTAATAAATTAGAGCTGCTCACACCTCCTTCTGGGCTGCTTGTGAGGATTAAATATGTTAGTCCGTGGGAAGCAGCTGGCGGGGTGTCTGGGTCTCGGCACTCAGTAAGGAATAGACGGTGGCCAAGTCGATGGTGGTGGTGACAGCTTCCCAGGTCCTTTCCTGCTTTTTCCTCTATCCCCCTTCCATCCATGCAACGGTGTGCGTGCAACAGATCCCCCTCCCTGCCTTGGGGGAACTTCTAGCTCCCTATGAGCCTCAGTTTCCCCATCTGGCTGGAGAGGGATTGCTTGATCCTTGGTAGGTCCACAAAGCTTGAACTATCAGCACAGGGGGCTGGTTTCCTTAGCTGCAGGTGGGCTGAGAGTCCCTGCTCCACTCCAGTCACCGTGTGCTGAAACGGGGAGCACGGCGCCCAGGGTTCACACCTGTGGGCAACACTGTGGGCAGGTAGGGAGGGACCGGCTGGGTTGGAAGCACATCAGCCAGTGTGGGGGGTGGCCTTCCCGGTAAGCGTGGCTGCAGCTGCAGGGTCCTGTTCCCGACCTGTTGCCCCTGGTCTCTCCTCTCGGCCTCATCACCATTGCCCATCAGGAAGGGTGCAGGAAGGGGGCTCCCTGCAAGGATGTGTGATATGTTAACACGGGGTTGGTTCTCTGCAGGGGTGTGGGAGGGGGGCTCCCTGCGAGGACGTGTGACGTGTTAACACGAGTGTCTTGTTGATTGTAGCAATGGCGCTTGCTTCCCTATCTGGCTGCCATCTACGCCTTGGACCACTTCTCGAAATCGCTCTTCCTGGACCTGGCAGAGCTGCAGCAAGGCCTCTCGGGGACCGACCACAGCGCCAGGCAGGTGAGCTCCCGTGCTCTTTTCTCCGTGGGCTTTACTGTTCCTAACGCTCACCAAGGCCAAACAGCACAGCCCTCAGCCTATCTTTCAAAACAACATCTGTCCATCCATGGCGGCCCTCTGGGGTTCTGAGATGCCCCCCGAGTTGTGGCCGCCCGCCTGGGCCTCCCAGAATCCTCGCCGTGATCTGGACAATTGGGGCACTATCCGTGTTACCGGGTCGGCAAGGATGTGCCGACCTGACTCCACTCCGGGCCTGCGGGTCCCGCTGTCCTTCTCCTTTGGGGAACGCGATGACTTTACTGAATTCTCGTTACCGGCCCCTCAGTGGGTTCTGAACCTGCCGTAAACAACCCTGTCAAGGCCTGAATCCAGCTGACGGGATTCGAACTGACCACCAAGGATTTGTGCCGCAAGTGAGCGTCCACGGGGCTCAGCCTCGACATAGTCATCCTTGGCAGATCTCTGTGTAAACAGTTTGCGGCTGCCTTTCCGTGGCCCCTCAGTTGCCTCCTGGGCGTGAGCAAAATGAGAATCACGAGGAACGCGTTTGAAAACAGACTTGAAATCCTGCAGATCGGTGTTACGTACAATACCCTAAAAAGCCTGGATTGGATTAGTACGTTTTGGAATATTCAGCATAAACACCCAGGAAGTCAGGGGGTGCCAGGGGGTGTGGAGACAGCCAGTAGGCTGCGCTGCTTGGCAACGCACGGGTCCTCGGGAATCAGAGATTAAATATGTTTTTCCCCAGCATGAGTCACCGGGACCTTTGCCAGCTGACACTGGACTCGTTCTCCTGTTAGTAACGTTATAAAGCGTAAGCATGCTTTATTCTCTCTGAAACTCTGCGGTTTCACGGAGGCGCGCCAGGACCTAAAAGTGGCCCTTATTTCATGTTGGAAATACTGGTAGAAGGGATCGTCTTCTTTAGCAGGCGTGTGTTTGTCTCGTTCTCTAAATTCTTTCTGTTAAACGTTCGGTGGAAGCAGAAGGATATCTGTAAGACACATAAGGCCCAGAGATGCTGGCCAGGGACAGCCTTACAGAGTCGACTACAAATCGCCATCCCCTGCACGGTCTCCTGCGAGCCAGTCCCCGCCTGCCCCCATCCTCGGGGGGGCCCTGTCTCCACCTCCTGTTTGGTTTCTTGCTTTTCTTTCTGCCATCAGATTCTGTCTGGTTTCAGGTTCAGAAGCGTCCCCTACACTGAGTTGAAATGTTTATGTTTCGTGCTCTACGCCTGCGATCATCCTCACGCCCCTGGAGTTTATTTGCCGCACAGAGCTCTGGTCCATCTGTTTCCACGGCTGTGAAACCATCTGTACCCCAGTGTGTCCACTCTGAGATGAGCCCCCCCTTTTGAAGCTAAAATTGGGTTTCTTTCTCCTGCAGCTGTCGGGTGTTTTAGATTGGACTACAGGGGACACAAGCCTTTGACGCTAGGACTGAAGTGACCTCTGACCTCCAGTGTTGGAGCCTTTTTTCACCTGTTCTTGTTGGATTTCCTCTCCCAAGGCAGAGCTCGGACGTGAGATCCACGCCTTGGCGTCGGCGGGCAAGCCGCTGGCCTCATGGACCGCCCAGCGGGGAATTCAGGAATGCCGGGAGGCGTGTGGAGGACATGGCTATCTGGCCGGTAGGTTTTGAAGTGTGTGATGGTTTTCTGTCCACAGCCCTGCTTTTGGCTACCACCTGCCAGCCAAGGTCGGCAATCGCTGGTTTTTGCGAATAAAGTTTTATCAGAATGTAACCCCACCTATTCGTTCGTGAGTTTTCTGTGGCCACGTTCGCATTACACGCAGGGTCGAGTCGTCTTTATCGAGCCTAAAATGTTCACTGGCTGGCCTTTCCCAAAGCAGCTTTGCCACCCCCCTGTCCTAGACAAAGGCCTCCACTCACTGCTGCCTCCTGTTCTCGGTCTCCTTCTGGGGGTAACGGGCGGTGGGGAGGCTGTGTGATGGAGCCTGCCAGCCCCCCAGTGGAACGTAGATAATCTGAATCTGTTCGTTTTTGTTGTCACTCTTTGCTTGATGACTTGGCAGTAATCCGGCACCAAGCTTTGTCCCGACGAAAAATTCTTCAACTTAGAAAAAGACAGTTTTCTTTGGCAGTGGGCCCTTGTTTGGGCAGCTGGTGTGAGGTTAAGAGAGTGAGCAGCCGAGGGCCTGCGACCAAGTCCTTCTCTGCCAACCGCTGGCTGCACAGCCCGGCCAGCTAGCCAGCCTCACTGGGCCTCAGTTTCCATGCCTGTAGCCTGGGGACGATTGTGGTGCATAACAATGAAGGTTCCCGCCACGGTCACATGCCTGAGCGCGCGTTAAGTGCTCCGTGCGGTGGTGGATGTGTGGCACATGGCCAGTGACTTCTATTGGCGGTTATCGTTGAAGCTTTCAGTATTATTGTAGTTGCCGCTGTTATTTGCAAACGTCCTGTGTGCGAGTGTTCAATAATTGGTAAAATCTACTTAATCCAAGCAGACCAACACATGCGTTCCAAACAACGAAGTTGGCAGAAACCTTGTTTTCGGTTAATGACCCCACAAGCATTTTAGGCTCTTGCCAACTTTGATCATCTCAGCGATGGTCTGTGGACAATTACGTGTTTTCAGCGAGGACCTGCCCCAGGTGCTTGTCATGTCAGGGCCAGGAGTGGTCCCTTGGCTCCCGCCACGTGGTGCCTCCCCATTACCCACGGACCAGCGGGTGACCATGCCTGCGTCCGAGTCGCTTACATGTCTCGTCCTCTGTGCAACGTTCCGTGCTTTCTGTTTGTTGTCACAGCTCAAAGAGATGCAATAAATAGTTCGCTTTATTGGGCTTTGAATAGAATAACGAATGGAGTCGGGCAGCCCCGCAGATGACATAAACAACCGAGTCAGGTGTCGTGAGTACAAACGCTGGGCTGAAACCAGCAAGGCTGGGCTCAGTGGGGTAGATGTGATGGGCTGGTCTGGGTTTAATATCAATTGTGACCTATTCCTTAGTGGTCATGCCTGGTTGTTTCAGTAGACTGGTCTGTGGCAGGGGGCAGTGGGTCGGGGGGAAAATAATCAGCATGTCCCAGGTGACCACAAGCCCCAGGGCTGCTGCAGAATGTCTCACACCCTCTCTGGCTATGCTCTCAGCAGTGTGAGCATGGGACTCCCACTCCTCTAACTCCCAGCTCATCCTGTCCCACCCAGCCTCCCATGTGGAGAACATCCTTCATCAGAGGAAGGAGACCCAGATAAGAGGGTCTAGAAGGCATACCTTATAAAAAATGTGAAGGAATCAGGGCTCTTCACTGGCAGGAGAGACGACAGAAGAAAACAGAGTTCTCTTGAGATATTTGAAAATTTTTTTAAGATTATTTGTTTTGAGAGAGCACGCAAAAGCAGGAGGGGCAGAGGGAGAAGGAGAGACAATCCCAAGTGGACGCAGTTCTGAGCGTGGAGCCCGAGGTGGGGCTTGATCTCACAGCCTGAGATTGTGTCCTGAGCCAAAATCCAGGGTCCAACACTCGACCAATGGCACTACCCAGGTGCCTGAGATATTTGAAATTTCTTGTGTGAAAAGATGAACTCGCCACAGGGTAGGCAAGTGCCCTGCAGCACGCGTCAGTGACCCCCATGCCTGGGATCTGGCGTTTGACCGCACGAAGCTTGGTGTCCACAGGGGAGAGGGACAAGCAGGTGACACGGGGCGTTTCTTAGTGTTCCTGCTTGCCGGCACCATGGGGTCAGCTGCTGGGAGGACCAGCTGGGGGAGGCGTGGGTGGGGCTGGGCATCCTGGGAGTGCTGTGTCCCGGTGCTGGGGCTCCCGGGGAGTGGCGTGGGTCCTGCCCCCACATGCACTGGAAGTGACAAGGTGCGCGGCTTCCTTGTAGTGAACCGTCTGGGTGACCTCCGGAATGACAACGACCCTAACTGCACGTACGAAGGGGATAACAACGTCCTGCTGCAGCAAACCAGCAGCTACCTGCTCAGCCTGCTGGCTCGCCACGTCCAAGGTGAGGCCCCTGCACTCATGGGAGAGTGGTCGGCCCGCACACGCTGGCCCCATGAGGCGGTCCCTGTGTCTGCAGGAGGACATGCATTCTGAAGCACGACTGACTGGCGTCGGGGGCACCCAATGCGGTGGGGTGGGTGGTCACTCCAGGGCCTGATGTGCTCACAGGTGGTGCTCGCATCGAGAGCCCTCTGAGGACGGTGGACTTTCTGGAAGCCTACCCTGATATCCTTGGCCGGAGGTTCACATGCCCGAGCGTTGACGGCTGCTTGGACTCTGCAGGTGAGCGTACCGTCTCCCCGTTTGCCTCCCGCCGTGATCCCCCTGCCTGCCGTGCAGCAAGGTGGGCCGTGGTGGGCCCTGCATTCATCCAGACCCCCCTTCCTGGGTGTGGTGCTGAGTTAGGCGCTGACTCTCCCCAAGGATGGAGACGGAAGGGCTCTGGGTCCTGTCCCTGCCTCACTGGGCAGTTGGTCTCCGGCTTGCCGGCTGCCCCTGAAACTGAGCTGTCTTCACAAGAACCCGGGGTCCTCCCACTCAGGGCCTTTGCACATGCCCAGCCTCACTGGCCTCACTTCTGTGGCCCCATTCACCCTTCTCAGCCCTGAGCAGGCTCAGCTCAGTGGCAGTCAGCACGGGGCTCTGTGCTCATCGTGCTTGGCCATGATCGTTGAGCGCCCCTGTAATCCAGGGCATGGGAAACCCTTGACTCAGAGCAAGAGAGCCACTCACTTACTTGAGTCTGTGTGTTCATTGTTTTGATTCACTCTTGAATGTTATTTTGGAGAAAAGGCCACTCCGGCCGCTCTGGGAACAGAGGGACACAGGAGAAGAGGGTGCCCCGGATGGGGCAGCAGCAGTGGAGGACGCGGCTAGTGCTGCCAGGACCTGGGTGGGGCAGCTTGGGGGGATAGGGCTCGCTCAGGCGCCGGTCCCATCCTGGGGTCCCCTCCCTCTGCTCTTGCCCCAAGCCTGCACCCCCGCCTCCCCCGAGCATCTGCAGCCACAGCTGGAACATCATTCATCTCACTGCCATCTGACCTGTGAGCTCCGAGGGCATGTACTTCACGTGGGTTTCCATATCCCCTGGAGACTGCCCCTGTGGCACGTGTCCCAGTGGGCCGGGCAGGAGCCACCCTTTTACAGAGCCCCCCAGGGACCTGGCGGTGTGGGCCCCACCGGGAGAGTGAGGGGGTGCCCCTTCCCCACCCCAGCCTGCTGACTGCACCCGGGAAGAGCCGCATCCACTCTGTCAGGCTCTCCTGGGGACATGGGAACTCACATCGTGGGGTGCTTCGCATCCATGCTCAGGATCCACTGGCCGCCATGGTACACGCAACAACCCGCGCCCTCTTCTCCATCACGGAAGGCACCACAAGGATGTCCCTTGTTCCTCTGAGTGCCTTTGGCATGGGAGGGGGCAGCTGGTCTGGATCAGGAGACCACAGAGCCAGCGTCCCCTGGGGCCTGGGGCTGAGAGCCCGTGGCCTCCCAGTGTCACCTGCTCTGGGTGCCAAGCATACCCGCCTCACTCCGGCCGGCTGCAGACCCTGCTCCCATCTTCCTGAGAGGAGACCAGGCCAGGTGGCGCCAGCGGTAGGAGCAAGACTAGAACTCAGGCTGGGCTGACATCCCAGCTGCTTCCTCCGTCATCATCCTCTTCCTCCAGGAAGCTTCTGCCCACAAGTGCTTTCTTTCTTGTTGGTCACCACAGTCTGTCACAGTTTTCCCGATGACAGCCCCCTGACAGGTCCTCACCAGCCTTTGTCAAGTGCCTATGGGATGTGGGACCCATCTGAAGGTCTATTTCAGATGGTTTCAGAGCACCCCAGCCAACCGTTGCTGCCCAAAACACTAGAAAATGAGTTCATGCTTCTCATAACATCAACCTAACCAGCATTTTTTCCCCTAAAACCATTACCCGCTGTAACCCAAAGAACAAACAAGCCATCTGGCAGCTCCTGGCTGCGCGGCGCGCTCTGCTCTGTCGCCTCCCTCGCGGACACTATGCACGTGGACCCCATCTGTGCAGCGGCCGCAGGACACAGGCCAGGCTGCGTCATCTGTTTTTCCTGTGACTGTCCTGGTTTTTGGAAGATCCAACAAAGTGAAAACATCTTCTGGAGGGAAAAAAAATGGAATAAGAACTCAAGCAGTGCAAGTGACACTGAATGCCGACATCACTGTCCACGCGGACGAGGGAGCTGGTGGCACAGGGCTGGCCCCTCGTCTCTGGGGCCTGTGGTCCTCCCAGCCCATGTGTCAGCCCTGGCCTCCACCCGTGGGATCTGCCATAAGGACAATGTGAAATCTTCACGAGCCTCGAACTCTGTGGGACCAGAGACGGCAGCTCAGTACCGCACATAGCCTGTCGGGAAGGTCCGAGGGTTTTCATTCAGGGGACGAGTCATTTATCTGGGGAGGGAGCGGGGTCATGGTCCCTGTCCTCGGCTGCCTCTGGGTTTCCTCCAATTCTCACGCAGGCGTGCGTGCCGAGGACGAGCCTCACAGATGTTCCTGTGTGTTTGAGATCTGCACTGTCACTTGGCAACATGAGGCCCGTTTGTTTTCCTCAAGTTGGCTGATTTGCAAAAGCAGTCAACGATTGTGGTTCACCATGTGTGGTGCTGACAGCCGTGTGCGTGTACAGGGTAGTGGGCTCGAGTCGCATCCTGTTCCCTGGGGAACTAGGCTCTGGAGTTGGCGTGACCTAGGGCTAGATAGTGAACCTTTCTGAGCCTCGGTTTCCCCTGTAGTCCATGGAGGTGGGGATGTGGTCAGCCCCATGTGGAGCCTAGTAGGGCCTGGGCTGTGGTTCACTCTTGCCAGGTCCTGGCTGCCAGGTGCCAGAGGCTGGCTGCCAGGTGCCGGGGGGCCACCACTCTGCGCACCCCTGCAGGCACAACACACACAGGGATTGCTTAGCTGTTTCCCTGGCAGTCAGCTCCGTGGCGGGTCTTGCACCTTTGGAGGAGGTCATGTGGGGACATCCAGCCACACAGGAGTGTGAGGGTGTGGGAACATAGACAGCAGGCAACACCCAGACCTGGGCCGTGCCAGCCAGGGAACTGGGGCCAGTCGTTCCCGCCTTGCTTTTTGGGCACACCAAGGTTGGAGAGCTCTGCTTTAGAGGGGGAGATCAGCCAGGAAATGGGCCCCAGGTGGAGGCAGCCTGGGAGAGGAGAGGGGCAGGGCGGAAGGCCAGGGAGGTGGTCGGAGGGGGCTGGCCAGCCTTGAGGGGCTCCCTGAAGCAACTGGGTGTCAGGATGAAGAGGTGGGAGGATGCTGTGAGTTCAGGTGTCATTTGTGGAGTCTAGTGCCCTGCAGACACGGATGGGGCCCAGGATCCCCAGGACTGGGAGGTGGGGCAGGAGCAGCAGGTCTAGGGACCACGGGAATGCTATGGCAGTGACCCCTGGGGCATGTGGGAATCCGTAGTGACACTGAGGGGACGCACCGTGTCCCGGCAGACGGAACACGTGAGCACCAGCCAGAACTAGCAACCCTCCCAAACAAGGCGCTCTCCCCAAAGCTGGCTCTGCGGCCCCCTGGCCTCTGGGTGCCGCAATAGTGCAGAATGTGGGGTGCCTTCTGGGTGCCTCCATGTCTGTGTCTCACAGGCTCTTCCCCAAGATGGCCGTGCTTGCGAGCTGCCCATCCTGGGGAAGTGCTCACAGGTCGCGGGTGCTTCATTGTTACTTTCATTTTTCTGTTTCTTGTTTTGAAGTCCCCCTTGCAGCGTACGAGTGGTTGGTTTGTTACCTGCTCCGTGAGAGTCATCAGAAATTAACTCAGGAGAAAAGATCAGGAAGCAATGACTTTGAAGCAAGAAACAACAGTCAAGTATGTCTGTTTTGAAAATTGCTTTTCTAATTCGCTTGGAATTCCTGTGCTGCCATGGCCTCGGTGAGCCGCCTGTCGCAGTGGTGGCAGCCAAGCCCTCTGGCCCCTGTGACTTCAGGAACGTGAGGTCACCCTGTGCCTTGGTGAACTGCAGGGACCTTAATGAATGGTGGATGTTGTGTTCAGAGTGTCTGGTGGCATCTGGACGCCGCCAGAGCCATCACGGTGGGACTGGGGATACTGGGCCATGGGACCCCAGCCCTGGTCCCTCCCAGCCGACCAGTGGCTGCTTGGTGACTCACCCTTGGTTCTCTCAGGACATTACCACCCTTCTCAGAGAGCCTGGGTGGGAATGGCCCCAGGATGGCTTTGGTTCTCAGGCTTGGATAGGGCTGAACCCACCGTGGAAATGCAACCCACTCTGAGATGCCTCCTGGCATCTGGATCTGGGCTGTTGTGACCCATACATCCTGTCTATCTGGAGTGATGGGTGTTGCTTGGGAGAGCACGGATAAAGGAAACATAAGTTTCTAGAACTGGTGTTGTTCCTTCTCCTCGGCCTGGTTTTGTGAGGCTCTTCTCGTGCCCTCTGAGAACTCAGCATCCACGTCTGCCCGTCTCCCCTGAATGAACTCCAGCCCTCCTGTTATGCTGTGATGGGTGGCCTCAGCACTGGGGTAGATGTGGCCAGGAGCGAAGCCAGTGGCGTCTCTTGGGACCTGCTGGACACACCTTCCCCAGGTGTGGAGGTGAGGGCACAGGATGGCATCTTGACCGGAAAGGCCTGGATGGAGAACTCAAACCCAGGCCTTACAGGAATTCAGCAGGAGGCCCCGGTCAGTAAACTTGATTTCAGTGCCACGGTGACCAAAGTACGGGGTATGGTAATGATCTTCCAGAATGGCTGGGGCCACTGTAGCCTTAGTCTCTTGGACACTGATGGGAGTGGATTACCTTGTCCCATGTCACCCCCTTCCCTGCCTGTCAGGGAGTAGAAACGGAGGGCCTCCTTGGAGTCACAAGCCAAGGCCCCAAAGAGATAGAGGGCACAAGAGGCTCCCATTCCCACTGCGTCCAAATTCTGGAGAGCTGCCTGGAGGTGGCTGTGGGTCTTGGTGCCATCCTTCTGCACCCCTGCCAGCTGGCCTGTGCCCAGAACCCTGATGACGGACCTTAGGCAGGACCTCAGCTGTTTTAGAAATAATTCCCCTTTAGACCTCTGTGAAAACCCTCTGTAGCAGCATTCAATATGCCGCACGACAGAAAAGGACGGGAGAGGCCAGCTGAGCTGGGATCTGGATCTTGGAGCCTGCTAAGAGCCAGCCCTGGGTCAGCTCTCATGGCCTGGGCTGGAAGCTCATGTGCGCCTTGGGAGAACACAACCTCTTCCCGTACGGTGCCCTGAGCAGCAACCCCGGGCACAAGAGGAAATACTCAGAGAATGTGTGGGTAGCCTCGGTGTGGGACGTGCCTTCTTGAGATGGGAAATCAGAAGCCGTAAAAGATAAAATTGGTCAGATATGACTGTGTAAACACTCGTCATTTCTGTAAACAAAGTCAGGCGATGGGCTGCAGACTGGGGAAGCATGTGCAGCAGGACGAGCAGGGCGCCCCAGCGGAGAAGGGTCCCCGGCCAGGGAACCAGCCACCGGCACAGGGGTTGCTGAGCACATCCCAGGGTCATGTGGGGGAAGGATGGTGTCTGGCGGGTCGTGGGGGCGTGAGCTGCTGTGTCCTCTGGAGCAGTCAGTGGCTGCTTGCGTGGAAACATGGAGGAGCTGACTCTCACCTGGTGAAGGCGGGGCATTTATCCCCCGTCCCCTCCCCCTACCCCTGGAACAGCTGCCCCTTGCTCTGTGCCTCCTGCAAGCGGGCCACACACAGTAAGTTCTTTAAGAAGAAGAGAGATGTGTTTATTGCCTCTTTTGGCCAAGTAGTACCCTCCCATGTTCAGAGGAAGAATGTGTAATAAGGTGGACGGTGGGGCCCCGAACCCCCAGAGCCCCGTGCTCCCTGTCCAGAGCTGTCAACCTTGGAAGGCAGATGTGCCGTGTTCTCCTCCCCTCACCGCACCCCTGTGTCCTGACGTGGGTCATTTCCTGCTATCTTCTCTGATAGATCGGGCCATCAGGGCCAAGAGAGATGCCCAGGGTCACCCAGCTCAGCTATGCTGGGGCTGGCCTGGAACCCAGCACCATCCCCGGGGCCTGGTCCTCTTCCCTGAACTGAGGTCTGAACATGGACACTGAGGAGTTCGTTTTCTGCCTGGAGTGTCAATGATTTGCTGACGTGCAGATATCCTCAGGAATTAGAGCACAGCAGGACCCAATAGCTGCATCTGATGGTTTAGGGCTTCATGGGGGTGGGGGCTTATGGGAGAGGAAGGGGCTGGGAGTAGGGGCTGGCCCTCGGGGCTCTCCGCATGTGACTGCCCTGCCCTCGAGCGCTTGTAATCCACAAGCAGCAGTCCCAGGTTCGCTGCAGCTGCGGACAACTGTCCCCAGGCCATGTTAGATCCCCCAAGGGGACAGGTTAACAGCTGGGCGCTGGAGGGTCAGCGGACTTCGCAGGAGCCTAAGGACAGGTCTGTGGCCTCACTGCCCGTCCCTGCCTGGCAGAGCCTCGGCTCCGTCCAGATGCTCCGTCCAGACCCATCCATGGGTCCTGTATGCTGTCCGCTGCTCAGCGGTACCCCACCTCTGCCCACAAAGACGTCCACCCTACCCCTGACTTCTGACAACCAGAGACGCCAGCCAGGGGCAGGTGTAGACGTGGCTCCCCGGATGCCCCACAGGACAGCTCCGCGTGTTTATCAGCGCAGGTCAGGCCCCACGCGCGCTCTTCTCATTAGAACAAATCCGGTAAAATGACACGGTAGAGACGGGAGAAGAAAACCTAATGAAGCTGCTGATACTCAACGGGATCTGGGGGAGCAGGTGAGAAAGGAAACACTGGGACCAGAGGACCTGCCGTGGCCTCCTGCTCCCACAAACAGCGGGCATCAGAACTGGAAATGCAGGCTGGCTGGGAACGGTACGCGTCAGAGCCGCAGGGAGCCGCCCTGGCGTCGGGTGGATACATGAGTGGGACAGAAGACGGGTTTCCTCCATGGCCCGGGGAGGAGTGCAGCCATGCCTGGAGTGGCCGGGGGCTCACGGAGCGCCCTCACTGTGTGTGCAGTGCAGGAGAGGACTGTCGTGTGCCCTCACACCTCCTGTGGCAGGGCCTGGCATGGTTGTCCCTGGGTGTGTTGGGTGGGGCCAAGCTGAGAGCAGTCATCAGGCTTGCCCAGGTCATGGAGCGCACAGACGCCGGCCTTGGCCTTCTCTCGGTGCTGGCCTTCTCCTGATGTTTGCGCACAGGCGATTCTCATGCCCTGCCCCCTTCGTGCATGGCTTCCCTTGTTGTCACTGTCCCACCCGGGGCCTTGGCTGGAGCGCCCACCTTGGTCTGTGTTCCTGATGGTTTCTGCCCCTGCCTCCTGCCCCAGGCTGGAACTGCGGCCCTGGCTGTTGGCTCACAGGGGCTGGCGGCTCCATGTTGTGTTCTGTTCTAAGGTGTACTACTGCCGTCCCCTGGCCCTCGCATTCCTGGAGCTCACTGTGGTGCGGCGGTTCCACGAGTACACACACCAACCCCACGTGCCGCCTGGGCTGCGGGCCGTGCTGGGCCGCCTCAGTGCCCTCTACGCCCTGTGGTCCCTGAGCCAGCACACAGCCCTGCTCTACCAAGGTGAGGCCCCTGCGGTGGGCACCTGCCTCCCCAGCCAGTCCCACCTGATCCCGCCCTGGATCCCAGCCGCATCTTCTTCAGGAGGCCTGGCTTTCCTTCTGAGTCTTTACCTCCACTGCTTTCCCTGAGCATTCCTCATGGGCTGGAGGAGCCGCCGGGGGCAGATGAGGATTCCCAGATTCCACGGGAGGGAAAGTGGTGTCAGGACAGGACAACATTTGCCTTTCGTTCAGGGTCCCCTTGAAGTCTATTTCCTGTTCAGAGAATATTTCCAGGAGGCCCACGTTAGCCAGGCAGGGAGCTGGTCTATGGCAAGCTGAAGCCCATGCCTCCCAGCCCATGGGGCCCAGAGAGACACGAACCCAAGCTGCTGGGAGGCACCCTCAGGAATGTCCAGCCTGAGGACCCAGGAGGGCTTCCTGAAGGAGGTGGTTTGGGGGCTGATTCCCAGCAGATGGGTGAAAAATGTGATAAGCTTGAATCTGTTTCCATTATTGTCCTTCTAAGGAGGATCTTTAGACTGTTTTCCCTTATCTCCCCCAAAACACATTAATGATATAGACAGGCTGTGTATCTGTTCACATCCTGTGTGTGTATCTCAGCTTTCTGAAAAGTGAGACCATTTGTCCTACTCCCCTTGCCAAGAACCAGTTTCCCCGCTTAGGGATGGTGTTGCCCTGTGGAGGTGGTGAGAGCAAATGGCTAGATTTACAAGGGGAAGAGCAGGCTTTGAACCTAGGGAGTGGCAGTGTGCAAGACAGGGGACTGGGCACTAAAAAGTGACAATTCTGAGGGATGGACAGTTTCCTTCACAAAAATCCAACAAAAGATTCTGTAGAAAATGTGCGCTCAAATGCACAGGCCATAGCCTTGGGCCCCACGAGATGCCACGGCAAGCCTACTGTGGTCGTGTGATGGTGGAGGTGATGGTGGTGATGGTGGTGATGGTGGTGGTGATGGTGATGGTGGTAATGATGATGGTGATGGTGGTGATGGTGGTGATAGTGGTAATGATGATGGTGATGGTGGTGATGGTGATGATGGTGGTGATGATGATGGTGATGATGATGATGATGGTGATGGTGGTGATGATGATGGTCATGATGGTGGTGGTGATGGTGGTGATGGTGGAGGTAATGGTGATGGTGATGATGATGGCGATGATGATGATAATGGCGATGATGGTGATGATGGTGGTGTTGATAATGGTGGTGGTGATGATGATGGTGGAGGTAGGGGTGATGGTGATGACCGTGGTGGAGGTGATAATGGTGGTGATGGTGGTGATGGTGGTGATGGTGGTGGTGGGGGTAGTGGTGGTTGAGGATATCTCCTGGCCTGGCTGTGACCTCCTGGCACATGCACAGTGATGGGAAAGGGCACGGGAACCTGGCCCTGGCCAGCATGTTCCTGCAGTGGGGAGAGGTCATACAAAGCACCTGGGGGCTAAGGTGGACATAGGGTACCAGACCCCATTGTAACCAGTGCTGTGCTTACAGGTGGCTACTTCTCTGGTGAGCGAGCTGGTAAAATGATCCAGAATGCCATCCTGGACCTGTGCTCAAAGGTGAGCAGCAATCACTCTTGTGTCATCACGATTCCCCCACATTATGTGTAACTGCTGCAGGGTGACATACACCTTTGCTTTGCACACACGTGTGTCTATGCAATGCTGAGCAAGAACAGGAAGATGACAGAAAAATACGCCGATGTCAGGGGTCTTAGGCAAAGAGTCACTTTTAGGGATCATCTTAGAGTCCACACTCTGTAATACAATTTTCACAGCTGCCCTTGTAATTCTCTCAAGCTTCCCAAGGGATTCAGCCTCCAGCTTAAACTCATCTCATGGTATTTTTCTTGTGTGTGGGATTCTTTCATCTTTGTCCCCAGAAAGGTCATGTGGGCCAAACCCTGACTCTGTGCCCTCATGGTGCTCTATCCAGGGAGCCTTTCTACAGGGGCAGACATGGCCAGAGCTGTGCCATCCCATTGGTCACTGCAGCCCGCACAGCTGTTGGCCATGGACATGTGCCCGTGTGACTGAGGGTGTTTGTCTTTGATTTTCACCCACTTACACTTAAAAGGCCACCCATGCTGGTGCTGCCAGACTGGGTGACCATCTTTAGCAGAGTCATCTCTCCTCTTGATGGTGGGAAATCATTTTATCAGATGTCTCAAATGACCAGCGACCTGCCACTTCTTTCTCCCTCTCAGAGCTCAGAGTCAATGCGGTTCCAGGCAGCCCCCTGATTGGTTCTATACCTCTCCCCAGACTCAGCTCGCCAGTGGCCATCCCTCGGTCTCCTGACGTTCTGGGTTGGCGTGCGTCCGTGACCGCGCCACACCTATGTGTGGCCACGCGTACTTCCTGTCCAGTCAAACCCATGACTGGAGGGTTTCCTAGGTGTGTTCCCCTTGCTCTCAAACAGCTGCATCCCTGGGGACCTGTGCCTGGTGGCTGGGGCCCGGGCGGGCAGGTGCTTGCACACACAGTCATGCAGCTGAAGCATCCTGTCCATCCGCCACCAGGGAGGCCCAGGTCCTTGCTGCCACTCCAGGGGGTCTGGCTCAGACAGGTGGAAGGGGCGGGGTGCCCGTCCCGCAGTTTACTCGTGCATCGTCTGTGGGTGTGTTGGTGCCACCACGGCAGAGGTGGCCACTGAGCCAGACTATTTCCTGCCGTCACCTGGCAGGTGTGCTAGCCCCTGTCTGAACAAGGGCCTTGCTCTGCGGACAGTTACATCTGAGGTGGGCGCGCTCGTTCATCAGGGGCCAAGGGGCAGAGGGCGTGTGGCTGTGGAGCAAGGGGCCAGGTACGCTCACGAGCAGCACCCAAACCACAAGCTGTGCTCCCCCCTCTCTTGGGTGGACTGGCTTAGTCCTGGCTGGCCAGTTGCTTTCCCTCTGCGTCGCCAAAACTGTCCCACTCCAGGACTCCAGTTGGTGCACCCGGGGGCCGCGTCACAATTATTTTAAGAAAAAATCCTTCTGCATTTCAAGAACGTTCTTGGGAGTCTTCTTACATAAATTCCACATGTCCTATTGAAGAACCACTTGCATGAGGGAATGGGGACATCCTCAAGCCACCTTGCACCCAACAGCCCTCGTAGCACGGCTTTCCCAGGTGCCTGTAAACACCAGCCCCGGCACATTTTTTCTGGACGTGCTCTCCTCTGCTGGAATGGCAGCTGCCCGGATCAGGCGGATTCAGACACGAATCTGAGGACGCTTGCCCTGTTAGTGAGCTGCTGAGCCGCTTTTACGAGCAGCTCCCTCCTTCTTGAGAAACAGTTAACTCACTGGAAGTTGTGAGTGATTAGCAACATGGAGAAAATATTCAGACACGCACCGAGGGAGTCTGTGATGCAGGCCAGCAGGAAGATAATGCATTAGTAACCGAGCCTCACATGTGCCTGCTGGGGTTACCGTTGCTAGTGGGTCATTGCTAGCGGGTCGTAGCAACAAACGGCCAACGCTCTGTTTCTCGACAGTCACCATGGAAACTCCCGGGGGTTGCCAAGAGAATGAACTTTGTTTTCCCACAGCTGAAAGACGATGCGGTTGCCCTGGTGGACGTGATCGCCCCTCCCGACTTTGTCCTGGACTCACCGATTGGCAGAGCTGACGGCGAGGTGAGTCCCCCCAGGGCCGGGGGCTGCTGGCAGTTACTGCTGGGTGGAGATGATGGCATGGGCCAGGGATGTTGATGCTCTCAGGCAGCAGCAGAGGGAGCGGCCAGGAGCGGGGGGTGGTTTGGGGAGGGTTAGCTGCACCCCAGCCTACCTTTCTCCCAGATATGGGCTGGCAACCCCGCCCTCACAGGCCCAGGGTGCTGGGGTCGGCATAGGCCCATGCCGAGTGCTGGGCCCTCTAGCCGTCCCCCTGCTCTCACAACCCCCAGGGGCCCTTCCCAGCGCTGGGTCTTCCTGACCTCTCACAGTGCTGACTCCTGACCCTTTCCATCCACTGACCACTCACCCCTGGTACTTTTGCTTCCAGCAGTCCCCTCTTGGCTCCCCAATCTCCGTTGCCCTGCCATGCTCCATCCAGAATGACTGCTTCAAGTGATCTTGTCAGACTGCCCCCTGCTGAGCCTCCCACCAACATCCCTCATGCCCACACCCCTAGCCTAGGCGGCCTGACCTCCAAGGTCATTTTATGCTGTGCTCCTCCTGCCCGCTGGACTCCAGCCTCACTGTCCCCCTCTATTCTTTGATGACAGCAGGCTTTCCCACCACAGGGCCTTTGCACCTGGTGTTCGCTCTGCCTGGAGCACTTCCATCCATTGCATCTAAGCAGAAGGCTGCCTCTCAGCTCTTCTATGAGGAGGGTGCCCCCACTTTGTCCTGCCATCTCACCCTACAGTGCTCGTTCCGCCCCCGTCCCTACGTGCAGTGTCCTCAGCTCCTCCCAGCAGTGCACCCCGTACAGGCTGATCAAGGCCATGTTCTTTGTGCGAAACACCTGCTTTCCACTCAGGCTCTGTTTCATTGGAGACTGAATGTGAGGGGGCAGGAGCCCTCCATGCATGCTCAGGGGAACAGACTTCTCCCAGGCAGGGGATAGGCACCCCGACCATGGCCAGGCTCAGGCCACACTTGGGCTTGGGATGGTGTACTGGGCCCTAGGGTGGGCAGGACAGAAGAAGTCCCCAGGCTGGCATGAGGACAGTATCATCCTTGGAGGCCTGCTGTCCTCTGGCCCCTCCCACACGGTGTCTGTTACACACATGCTTTGTCACGGGGAAACCCAACAACCAGGGAAGCCAGGTGGCCTGCCCACAGCTGCCCAGCCAGGAAGCAGCAGAGCCAGGATGTGGGTAGACACCTACCACCTGGAGAGAAGACAGGAGACTGGTCCTCAGTCCCCAGTGTGGTCAGGGCCCCAATGAGTACCCGCAGGAGGACATGCCAGTAGGGCTGCGGGAGGGGGGCTGGGCTGCCCATGGGGGCATGACCAGGCTGCAGGTTGGCAGGCAATGAGGAGGACCTGGACACAGTGTCATGCGAGGCCCCGAGCCCCCGGGAGTGTTAGCGGGTACAGAAGGAACCAGGGCAGCTGACTCACTGGGCCCCGTGTGTGCCCTGTAGAGACAGCCCCACTCCAGGTAGGACAGTGGCTGGTGCGCAGGGGCCGTCCCTGTGCTGCGGGCTCCTTCCGGCTCTAGAGTCCACTGTGGACTCCTGGGGCCTTGCCTCGCAAGAAGGAATATATGGCACGCAGTTTGACCAGGCGCTGCTGGGTGAGAAGTGCAATTTAAGGGAACATGCTGCTGCCAGAGGCTAAGACGGCCATTCCTTGAAGCATCAGGCTCCAAATTGTAATATGTAACCTGTGCGGAGAAAGTGGGCCTGAGTGTGCCTGGGGGGGTCCAGGAGTGCACTCAGCAGGTTCAGGGACACTGGCTTCTTCGAAGTAAGGAGAGCCTGGCTGGCTCAGTGGTCAAGCATGTGAGTCTTGATCTCAGGTTGTGAGTTCAAGCCCCATGGCGGGTGTGGAGCCCACTTAAAAAAGAAAAAAAAAAGTGGAGTTTGTCAACACCAGCCAGGGACACAGGAGGCCCCTTCCCTGGCTCCGTGGACTGGAGACCTGCCAGCCTGTATGCCATGTTTGGGCGGATGGAGAACCCCAGCAATGCGCATGGCCTTCCGCCCATATAGACGCTGCTCTGCTTTTCCCATGGGGCAGCCCAGTGGAAAGGGTTTGTGTGAGCTGCTGGAGGAGGTGGTCTGCCAGCCTAGCTGCTGAGGGAGAGGGCACGCTTTGGAGCAGACAGCCAGCGCTCACCTGCGGAGCCCGTGTGGGCCTCCCCCTACAAGAGTCCCCAGAGGAAAGGACGCATCCAAAGCCGTCGTCATAAATTGTTTTAAAGTATTACATGTTTCCAGTTGTTTTCCATGAAGAAAAAAGATTGATGTAAATGAAATCATCTTAAAATTTTCTAAGAAGTGACAAGCGGATTTTCTGTGTTTTCAGCAAAAGCGTGTATGAGGGGCTTTGCAACTCCCTCCTCGGCTCTGTGAGAAACCTTGTTTATTACCCATGTATGTGCTTATTTCTTACAGCTCTATAAAAACCTCTGGACTGCTGTCCTTCTGGAAAGCAAAGTGCTGGAGAGGCCATCGTGGTGGCCGGAGTTTTCCAGCAGGAAGCCCCGCATGGGAAGTTTGAAATCAAAGCTATAGTCGCATCACACACTCAGCTGAATCTAAGTGAGCTGACCCTGCTGGCGAAGATGGTGACCTCAAATCCTAGTTCCAGATGATGCTGGAAACCCCGCTGCTTTCTGAACACACCCGTGCTTGTCCCACACCGGCCTCTCCCCCCACCGCCCGGGGGCGGCTCCCCCAACATGGTGCCGGGAGGACGCCTCCGCCAGATTTGCTGTGTGCAGAGAAAATCCGTGTGATCACCTCTCTTCCTGATGGTCTGTTTTTTTGGTAATGCGGACATCGCACATGCTGTGTTCACATGCCCGAGAGGAGGCCGCGTGCTCGTAATCAGGGCATTTCCGGGCCGATGGTCTTCGCCTCCTGAGATTTCTTACAAAGCTCTGCTTCACTAAGTGCTTAACGATGACAGTCTGATTCTTTGTTAACTGGTTTGACTTTATCATGTAATTAAATCCTATTTTAAGCTTACCTGAATGATGTACTTTGAAGTTTCTAAGGAGAAGAAAATCCATTTTGTGGGGAAATCCAGGTTTCCACCAAGGAAACGTTTCCAAAGAAAATAAATGCATCACACGGGTCTGGTCCGTTTAAGGCCCTGAGCTGCCGGCTGCACATATGTTCTTTCATTCCAGTTCGAGGCTCTGGTCTGGCTGTTTGGCCCTTGGCAGGATACCTGGTGCTGCTTGGCGGCTCCCCACCCTGTGGACCAGCGCACCTGCCTTTCCGTGGAGGCCAGGTTGGAGGGGGACGAACCCCCACATGGTAGCTCCTGGGTCCCCGCTAAGCACGCCTGGCTCGCGGGTTCCTCTCTGTCATCAGCCGCTGCTCTGAACCTCAGAGCAGAGCAGGCAGACATGGCCCGGCGCCCAAGGAGCGCAGTCCGTGCCAGGGAACCCAGGATGGCTTCTTATCTCGGAATAGCTCCAAGCGCCTCTGAGCACGGGAGGGGCGGGGACAGGACCTGTTTTTATTAAAGACTGACTTTCCAGCTTTGGGAACTACCAGAGGGGCTCCTTGACTTCTCCAGCCTCAGTTATCACACCTAGAAAAGGGGACTCCGACCCCACCTCAGCCCTGCAGGGCCGCCAGGTACACAGGAGCGGGTGAGAGGGGCTGCTTTTATGAAGCGCTACTGGACGCAGGGGCTTCGTCGTCACCATCTCCTGGACCCTCAGACACTGGGTGGGGAGAGTCTGACAAGCACACCCATTTTACAGGTGAGAAAACAAACATGGCCAGGAGGTGGTCCGGCCCAGATTGCACACAACCATCCCAACGTTCTCGGCCCAGCACAGAACAGGCCCTCAAAACTACATGGCTGTAGTTTTAACTGGGAAGAACCCTGCCTGAGTGTAATATTCTCACCCCAGCAGGGTGGGCAAGCTTCTACCAGGAGCTGCAAGAGGCTGTCCTCGATGCAGCTCATTGGGCTGTTAGCATCCCTCGGGCAGGTTCTCAGAGGAATTGTTTTCATTGTCACGCCTGTCCTTTGGGAACAACGGACGGCAGCTAGCACACCCTCCGGTCTGCTGGCCTCTGATGTCATTTGTGAAGCCAGCACATGGCCATTGGGCATTATTTCAGGAATGTAGAAAGCATCAAAGAGGAAAATGTCACAGCTCCACTCTTGAGTGATAATGACTGCTTACCTGTCATTTCCTTTGGGGCCAGAGGTCACAGAAGGGGGTTCATGGTTGTCCTGGGTTCATACTGGTTTTGCCCCATGCCGCTCTGAGGCCGGAAAGATGACGATCTTGTCCCCACTGGTCAGAGCCCAGTGGACAGCTCATCCCGTCTTCTGGTGGCGTGCTGGAGCACCCCATTCCTGAAGCCCTCTGTGTGCTTGTGTACTCCTGTGTGTGTGCAATTTTCTGTGTGTGGGATTTTCCTAACAGAGCCTGGGGCCATCCTCTAGACCCTTTTCCCTGCTGAAGGGCACTTCTCAGGCACTTCTTGTGTCGAGCAGCATGGACACAGAAGCTTAACAAGCCTCCTGAGGGACGTGGAGAGTTAGAGTTTCTGCTTGGAGTAGCTCTGTGCACGGGTCAGCTCCTGGAAGCCGGGGCACCCAGACCAGTGCCTTGGGGGCAGGGCTTGTGATACTACCACCAAGTCAGAGGTGAAACAGCCTGATGGACAAGCACAGGATGAGAGCCGGGCAGAGCCAGATGGTGCCCTTGACAAAACAGCATGAACGACAGAATCTGCCTCACTCTGCCCTTGTCAGCGTTGTCACAGGCTAGCAAGGAAAGCACAGAATGCAGGCCTGGCCCACAGACGGCCGCTGCTCGAGAGGTCTCCACATTATCACACTCTTCCCAGGAAGACACCTGCCTTTTCTGCTCTGTTACCCTTCCCAGTAGTGTCCAGTCTGGGGCTCCCTGGGCAGATATGCTCTTCCCTACGGAGGCTGAACATGTCTTCCCAACTATTTATGGGCTATCTCTACATGCTCAGGATGATTGCCACTTCTCGCTTTTTGCCTAATGGAGACTTGAGATGTCACAATATTTTTGTTGATTTTAAAAATACTCTTTACATATTAAGAACAATAAACCTGGAACATATGTATTACCTATCACTTTTCTTTGTTTATCCTTCACCTTTGGATTGTATTAATTTTTTTTCTTTTTGATTTAACATGAAGTTTAAAATAGAATTTGAAATCTTATATAAAATTAAGAACCTTTCCTGCTTTGCCCTTTGAGGTCGTGCTTGGAATGTTCTCCCCATACTGGGATTATTTCTACCTTATCTGTTTCTTCCAGAGTGTATCGCCAGTGCTTTGTTGACCAGGAATTGACTTCAAGATACAGTGCAAGGTAGGGATCCCGGTGGCTGGCCCTAACCAGAAGTGCCACCTGCAGCAAATGCCGGAATCACGGATGTTCCTGGGCCCATTTCTGCATTTTTCTATTTTATTGTCTTTTCTCACATTAGCTCCTATGATTTCCATGAGTGTGGCTTTCATACTTCCCAGTATCCTTTGAAGCAGACAAAACCTCTCTCATCTTTTGAAAAAAATTTCTTAGGTATGCAAACTTTGGTATTATTTTGTCAAATTCAATGCCCTCCCTTCCCTAGATTAATGAAAGATTCTTTGGAATTTGTGGGTTTGGTTTAATCTATAGATTACTATCAGAATTTAGATCTTTATGGTGAGTAGTCTCTCCATCTAAGACCATTTTTCCATGTTGTTTTTAATAAGCTTCCTTGCTCTGGTGTATTTACTTTGGAAATGGTCACTTTAAAAAAAAAAACAACCTTAGTTATAATAGTCTTATATTGATTCTCTTTGGTGTTCCTTATATGTCATTGGCAAATAGTGATGGTTTGGCCATTACCTTATCAAAACTTTTGCCAGTCATTTAGCCTTCCTGGCTAGTGTCTACTGGTCCTGCCAGAACAGTCTCCTTACAGCTGACAGTAAGCGCCACTGTCCGGTCTCAGACACTCAGACTTTGCCTTCGGTGGTTTGCATTGATGTGATGTTGTATGGGGGATCGGTTGCTGAGAGAGACAAAGGCAGTGGACCATGCCAGGGACCTTCTCTCTGGGCCGCACACACAGGCATGTGCTTGTGGCTGGAACTCTGACTCCCCAAGGACAAAGGCTGTGGAGTGGGAGTCCTCCCCTGGGAGCAGACCAGGAGCCAGCCTCCCGGGGCTCCATGGGGCCGGCTGGGCGGATATGAGCGGAAACCACTGGAACATAAAGAAGACAGTAAAAACCCACCCAAACCCCATCATCATTCTTGAGAGCCCATTAACATCTTGGGATCGAGGTCTTCCTCGTGGCCGCTAAGGTTCTTGGTGGCTGTTGGGCCCTCTGTTATCATGGGCCGTGTTATTGACATTTGGGGACCGTCCCTTTTGATGTGCTTCTGGTAGCCTGAAGGTGGTCTTGCCCTTGGGACCACCCCTTCCACAAAGTCAGCGACCACCCAGCACCCAGCCACACCGGGCCCCACACAAGGCTGTGCATCTCTGTTACAAGGTCCCTTTCTGTGTGACTTGGCTCATACAGCTGTTTGGACATTCCCCAGACTCTCTGGGGAGTGTGGCCTGCCAGACAGTGGGCCCCATCTGAAGACAACAGGAGGCCACCCAGCTTTGGGCAGTGGTCTCCAGGTGCGTGAGCCACCAGCTGCCTAACCGCCCATGACCGCAAGCTGGGCCGACAGGCTGACATGGAGCCCTAGCGCCAAACCAGCCCCTGGGCACCCACAGAATGGCTCAGCCAGGTGGCTCCTGGCTACACTTGCGGGAGGTCCACTCTCCACGAGGAGCAGGAGAATGCCCGCCGCCTCTGGACTGGGGACTCCTGGCCACATGGGGCTGCCCAGTGATCCTATGCGGCCCTGGTTTGCTTTCATGTTTAGTCACAGCCCCTTGCCATCCCTGAAAACTGATATCTGGGGACTTTGTCGGGCTGTGGGCATTGATCCTGAATCCAGGAGGTCAGGAAGTCTCAGGAGGAGCCCCGTTCCTACCAGCTGCTGGGAAAGCTTCCCCACCCTATTTCCCTTCCAGTGCAAAGACTGACCTCAGCTGGTCTTGTCTCGCTAGATGGCCCAGAGGCCCAGGGTGGTGGCTCCGCTTCGTGATGCCCAGAGGAAGGCAGTGCTGGTCCCATGAAATGGCGCAGGAGCAGTTACTCCCCTCACATACTTGCTCACGGGAGTAGGTTTGCCAGTCTGTTGAGCAAGGAGGCCCGTGGTGTTCACAAGAGAAAACTCGACTAGGGTCTTACAGAGGCCAAAGGCTTGGGGTGAGAAAACCAGACGTGAGACTCGCCCCCAGGTGTGTGTTCCAGGTGCCCCAATGCCATTTGCAAACATTGCTGACATCTCCCAAAATTCTTCATCTTCACTCCAGAGCGAGGCTTGTAAAAACAAAATGCATTTTTAGGAATATGTCCTTAGGTCATCATCCATAAAAACCCTGGACTGACATTCCTCCTGGCAGCCTGGAGAGGTGGCTGGCCGCCCCTGGAGAGGACCAGCTTCGGTT